TTTTGTTGTCCAACTTTGTGTCATCTATTATTATAACGTTTGCTTTTTAATAATTGTTTTCTATATGAAAGCGTATTTGAAGTTTCTGATTGATCTTTTGATTATATCATAATCTATTCTTAGACAATAAAGACGTCTGGCTCTGCCAGACATTATCAATCAAATTTCTAGGTTTGTATTTCAACTCTACTGAGGATGACACAAATTAACAAGGAGGAACATGTACCGTGGTAAAAGTAAAACATAAATACATTTCCAAACTTTTCATGAAAATAAACATGATATTGAGGCGTGCTGCTTTAAAATCCTAATAATTGTATATTTATTAATTCCAGCCCATATACTTATCATATATTTCAATAAAACTTACATAATATTATATGCTATTTTGAAGAAAAAGTAAATATTTATACGTCAAACACAAGATAAAAAATGTGTTAGAAAAAATCGCACATCCTTCAAATCACCTTGCAATTGATTCTATTTCCAATATTTTCGCATTATCCTTTTGTCAACAGGTGACACGAGTCATCTATTAAACATATATTACTGATACTTATTATATATTTTCATCATATTTTTCTTTTTCAACAATATCAAACTTCATCTTTAATATACAAAACACACTATGTGAAAAATTTTAAACTATCGCCTTTTTATTTATTTACAAAATATTTCAACAAATTCAAGCGTGACACTCAGCTCTGTCGTATTTAAATGCGGTGCGCTATGATTGTGAGAACCCGCATTATCCCGAATGACTCCGATTATAGCAAGGCTGGTTCAAAGCTCATTTATATACAGCATATCTGAGAGTCGTTTTGTTTTCAAAAAAGCGTATATTTACTTTCATTGATATATATAACAACTATATGTGTTAGGATTAACAAATATATATTTCATTTGTATTTTTAGGTGTTTGGAGCTCAACTCCTAAGTGTTTGTGACTTTAACGTTAAAAAAAGACATAAATGATATCGGGCCCACCGCACTGCGTTGCAATCGAATCCACCACCGTCTGCGTTGTAATCAATTTTGTCAATTCTTTTATTAAAATGGTAATATCAATTTCAAAAAGTTCCAAAATATGGTTGTTTTGTGTAATTATCATACATACGATGCGATGCCAGTGTATCTAGGGGTAGTTTTGAGTACATATGTAGTGTTATAAACAAAATTAGGCAAAAGTGGCGTCCCCTCGTCAAACTGTACAGAAGTGTTTGCATAACTGGTCATGATTTGCACCCCATGCGTGTAATAAGTTGGAAGAGTACATATGTGGGCTCCAGTCTCACTAGGTGTTATCAGTAGAACATAAAAACATAACGTAAAAATAAGTCATAAACTTACCGACACCAGCAAAAAACTATCCGACAGCCATGTTTTTCCACCGCTTCTGCGACGAAATCTCCATCGCCGCACCGGTAGACCCACCGCTTCTGCGAAAGCTATGGCCAGTGTGTTCATAAACTGTAAGAAAAATTTAGGCTAAATGATCCACATTTTATTTTTTGTGATATGTCCAAAGAGGTGTCATTTGTGTTTTTAAAACCATGCAATGCTATCTCAATCTGATTTAAGGGTTATAAGTAAGTAAGTAAGTAAGTAAGTAAATAATTTATTATAGTGACATAAATATTATGCTATATGTTACAAATATACAGTAATTTAGATGTATTGAAAGCATCTGGCCCAATGGACCTATAAGTCACCAAAACCAAGACATCATAATTCATTCCATTATTGATCAATGATATGATTACATAGACACTAGATATATAAAGTTATATACAGTTAGATATACATCTAAATTAAATTTTACAAGTTAAAATAAATTTGTATGGCATTTAACTAGGTTGTATATAGAGTTGTTCTTCTATGCAGATATGAATTAACAATATCTTTCGCTGATTTTCGCGGATAATTGTTTAAGAGATATGCTCTGCTCTGTAAGATGTAGGTAAAGTTTTTGGGGTGTCAATATACATTGGGGGCCAATCAGATCTGTCATTGATTTATATTGCAATCCAATCAATTTATTAGCCGAATGGTAATTCCTTTATTCATTGGTAATTGAAAATAATAACTGCAATAGCCAAACCCTGACAAACTTTATTACATGATGATTCTGGTACGGCCAATGAAATTTTAGGTGATCATCCAATCAAACTCATAATTTTTCATATTTTCATTCATTAATGCTATTCTTTGCTAATCTTTACGTAAATACTTTTGTTGCAGAAATTTATTAAAATGTAGGAAGTTGTTAATAGTAAATATGTCCAATGGGAATAAAAGAATGCACAAAATATGTTTGAAAAACTGGGTCTTTTAAAAAAAAAACTGCCTGATCTTTTTATGACACTACATTTTATTCCTACAATGTTTACCTATTACGTAGTGTTTAAAACATAATATATCCTCTCTCTGTGTAGTCAAAAGATCTTTTTTTACATTTAAAAAGAAACTGTATAAAAATAATCAGTATTTGCAAATATCAAATTTGGGCATAATATAGACCCTTCCATTTAAGTGATAACAGTCAGGGAAGAGTTACTTCCCTTACCGGATGTGACGTAAATGGGGGATAAAACTATGCAGGCCGCATAGAATGTTAGTTTATTGAAAAGTTAAATGCGCAAATACCGATCGTTCAATTATGATTATAACAGGTAAAAATTTACGCATGCATACATAAATTCAATATCAAGACAATAGAAAAAAAAACAAAGATTGAGATTAACTCTCGCTACGGAGTGAAACAGCGAAATTTCAAAGTGAATATATTTATTAGATCTAGATTTTCTCTAATGCCAGGATAAAAAAGCTAGTTACTAAATCAAATTTTAATATTTTATAAACACCCATACACACTGAAATTGCCTATTATAAATTTAAATGACCATTTTCTAGTTTTCTGTGTTATTTTCTGTCATTTAGAAAATTCCGGTGTACATTTTGTATTTGTGACAAACATGAAAATAAGATTGCCAGTGTCTTTTGATAATTGTTTTTTCAAGCTTTAATACAAAAATAACAGAATGCATTCTGTCAATCCTTACTGATTCTTTTTCATTATGCCGTATAAAAAATATTTTAAAGAACCAGTGAAGGGTATAATTTTATAAATATTCCGAAAAGAACGAAAACCATGTGGCATTGACTTTTATAATTTTAGATTTGCAACAGACGATTATAAGATAATTTTAATATTAAAAATCTATTCTTATGGTTATAGAAATAAAGACCTTTTCCCAGTAACTTATTTCATAGATAAATAGATGTGTATAAATAAACGCCACTGGGCCGTAACATATTAATTAACAGGGTGCATAATTATGTTGTATGTACAAGCGGCACTTGGCTGTAATATCATAAATCACCAGGGTGCATTTTTTAAAGTTATAACATTACATCAGATTACGTCACTTTTGTTAGTTGTCAAAATATTTATGGTCCGAATTTTGTTATGGATCATCCTAGGGACTTTATTGGTCATGCCTTACTGATTTGATACTCGATCCAGAGTCCTACCAACTGGCACAGTCAAAAATACGTAAAATTATATTTCATTTAATAACAAATTTCCGTGAAGGTGTTTCACAACTTGTTCTTGTTTTTTTTGTGATTTTTTTAAATATATGATAAGCAGTGTATGCATTTTCTTTATCAGCTTAAATATATTGGTGTGATGTACGATTTTTTGAGAGTGCATTTTTTGCCGACACAAATAGTATACAGTCATGTACATTCAAAAGAAATTTTACTTTTTATGCCATTACATTTTTTTTTTGGAAATTACATAGATTTATATTGTTGTTTTTCTCTGTCTTAGTAATGCTTAAATCAAAATGATTTTTTATAAACCAGTATCTTGCAATTTATTACGCAGTCGTTTTTCGAAACTACAGAATCCTTACATTTTTGAAACTCAAAATATATTTTGGGTATTGTATGTTAGCAGAGACATAGATACATTATCTATATCTCTGGTATTAGCAAATTAGTACAATATAACTGCCTGGTAAATTTTTCATTATTAAAAATATTACGAAAATGGTAATCATGATCAGTTACCCAGCCATAAGGTCTACTATTAAAACAAGTCGTTAACCTTATTATAGTAAACATTTTTATTCATTTCACCATCCTTTTATGTAATATCTTATTCAATAACACAAAATTTTGGCAATTTCAATCTGCCAATCTTACAACAGAAAGGATTAAGATCTTTATATCCCTCTATTATTGTATTTAATCGTATCGGCATTGTCCACCGTATCCCCCAATGACGTCATCAAAGGGCGACAACTTGAATACGGTCTTAAATGAAAGGGTCTATATCCTTTATTTTTTGTGATATATCCAAAGAGGGATCATTTGTGTTTTTCACACCATGCAATGCTATCTCAATGTGATTTTAGGGTAATAAAGCTTAATTTTATAAAGTTACTTCAAAGGGACTCCAATAAAGATTTTTGAAATGACGGGACTTGAAATAATTTTAGCGATTCATATTTAATTCGCTACCAAGGACCCATACCTACACAACTACGTATAAAATTGATTTATATTAGGCTCATGGGGCTCTAACACGTCCAAAACAAAGCCATTGACATATCGAGTAAAACAGTCATGATGACATTCAGAAATTCAGGTTAAAACAATTTTTATTGTCCATGAGTACGACCTGTTAAGACTCTTCTGGATTAAATTTATACTCGTAAGTAATCTCATTCTTTATCAGATATCCTTGTCTTTATAAACATGTATTATAAAATATATATATATATATATATATATATATATATATATATATATATATATATATATATATATATATATATATATATATATATATATATATATATATTCATGATATTTTCCTTATATGCAGTTTTAAAAAGTAACAAATAATTATTTGTTAAAATATCATGTAATTTTAATATTTGAAATTGAAAAAAATAATTATACAAAAACAGTTAATTGACCTATGCAATACATTGCATTATAAGGTACTTTAGGTCTGATTGGTTAACTGAAAATCAAAATAAAAAAAACCTTAAATCAAATATTTATTTAAACACAATTTTATTTCATGCTCAATTGAAAGTAAATGGTGACCATTAAAAATATAACAGGTTTTATATTGTAGAAAATGCTGGGAAAATTTGAAATATTTCAGAAAGCCATTTCAATTGTAAACATCTAAGATTAACTTTAACGGACCAGTGTCACTATTAAGGAGCAAAACTTAAAATGTCTTATTGTAATTAATAATGTTGCTTAGAGATGTTCTTATTACAATGAGAATTATCGAAGTTTGTAAATGAAATTCTAAAAACGATATGCCTTAGAATTCGCCAATATTAATGTTCATGTTCCTAACAAAAGCCTATATACAATACAATACAAATATATAAAAAGATAATCAACATGACCACATTATCTTTAGAAAGGCAAAAATATCAAAATAGTTACAATATACACATACAATATGCATGTAGTTGAAACGGCATATAAACATATAAATGTATTTGTATCATTACATCAATAAATGAATAAACTTTCATTATGAAATTTACTTATCAAAATTTTGTCATAAATATTGAAAAACGCAATAGCATATAGTATTAATAAGTAGCAAATATAAAACATCAAATAGAATAGTAAAAATGTTGAAACCATGCATGCAATTTCATGTAAAACGGTTAAACCTATTGTATATATACATGTGAACGTAACAATGACGGTAACAATGTTGCAATCACCAAAAGAAATAAATATAAATATTACATAACTATTATTCTCTCTAATATTACATACGGAAAGAACCTTATTCATACTAGTTAATATCATTATTTACACAATTATTGGAATAAACACAATTATTCTATTGTACAACATAATTGTTTCAATTGTCTCTCCTTAGTTTATTCAGCAGTCTTGCTTATTTTGTCGGGAGAATCATTCTGAATGGTTGCATTGTTTGCAAGCAGAGCCTTCACAGATGTGTGAGAATCAAGCAGCAGTACCAAAGCGTCGTGAAGGAATCTGTACTGTTCCTGTGAACGTTAAATTTTGTAATAACAAAATTGGACAATATCATACAAAACCAACACACCGAATCTAAGTTAACTTCGTTAAATTCAAGTTTAATCAAAATTATAATTATGACAAAGGCACCGTAAAGCTTGGGCAATGTTCGCTTGAATGTCATGTGTGATTAATTAAAAATGATTTTTCAATTAGGAAGATATAAATAAGAAACTTGTCTTGATAATAATAATTCATCTTAAAAAGCCTCCCGGGGTGGGGCAGAAATATAAGCCCTTGAAATTGAATTTTTGCATGATTATACTCAAATTGGTTTTCCCATATTTATATGTGTAAAATATGTGACGCCCCGTGGATTGGCCAATTTTGACCCAAGTTTATAATTTATAACATTTTTGAAGAGGTAACAAGGAAATGATATATAACAAAATATTTATACTCAAGACATTGTAGTTTCACAAAATAAGACTGAAATGTGTTTTTCTCATACAAAACTTTATCAAGTGAATCCAGGGGCGGGGTCAATATTGACCCATGGGGCATGACTAACACCAGTTCCGGTAGGCCTAAAAGGGAATGCTACATGTCAAATATCTAGCCTCTAAGCAATGTGATTACATGAAATATGTCTTAAATGAGCTTTCCTATAGTAATTTATATTAACTAAATGAACTTAATTTCTTATTTTCTCTATTTAATGACCTCGAAGCGGAGCCAATATTGACCCAAAAGCACCATATATACCAGTTATGTTGTAGACCACAAGTGATGTTACATGCCAAATATCTAAGTTCTTGGAATTGCAGTTTCACACAGTAAGCCACAGATGTCTTTTCTCTATATGGGTTTTTATAAATCAAGAGACCAATGAGGCGAGGCTATATTAATGTAAGACACATGATTTATATCAATTTTGTTAAAGTAAAAAAGGCAATGATACATGCATTATATCTTATGGGACCAATTTGTGTCATGAGAAGCTCAAATCTGTGTTCTGCATATCATTTTAGTATTATAATATTAAGTAATTATTCTGCCAAAAAGTTTTAATTTTTCGGATCAAATATAAAAGGGTGCACATGAAATGTTGAAATTTATACAAAATCACTAAATATGACCTTGACGCTACCTGAGGATGTGCAAACCTGACTCCGCACATTATCTCATTATTGTTAATATTTCTGCCATGTCATTTCAATTTCCATTTCAATTTCCATGCAGCGGTTCAAAAGATACAGATGGCTTACAAAATTGCTAACAGGCGGCCGGACGAAAGGTCGGCCAGGTGCATAAAATATGGGCCGAAATTGTTTTGGGCGTATAATAATAATAATAATATAAAAGATTTTACACTATAAAACCTATAATTAAAAATATGCAGCGTTTGTACCACGTTATGTTCGAAAAGAAATCATTATCAGTTCCTATCATATCGGTATCAGTTAAGCTTTGTTCCCATCTCAAGTATCCGAAATATCCAAATGCATATCATACCCTGTATAAAATGGCATGATTTCATTTTCAAAGTCGAAGGCATTTACATCAAATGCAAATCATACTCCATCTGGTCTTATTTTCATTTTCAGGGTATAAAATGTATTGAACATGTAGCAAATAAGTTCTTCCGAAATGTCAATAATTGTGCAATAAAGATTCATTATTGATTGTCACTTCACTAATTTGAAACTCGACTAGCGTCTCGTGAAATAGGTTTGAAAACTGTGTACTCGTCCAAAAAATCTTGTGCATTATACAGACCTGGTGTTTTGATGTTTTGTCCCCCCCCCCTCCCAATCTTTTAATTTATTGCTTATTTCAATAAGTTGTTTAATTGCAGGTTTAACTTGTTCGGTTCTAATAACGTGTAAGATATTAATGAATTGATGAAAATAGTTGATTGCCTACAGGAGAATTAATCTTCGACATTTGACCAAAAAGACTGCTTACTGTATATATCACCGGTACTTAAACTTTTGAACCTGTCGCTCACAAAATTGATCTTTGTTTACAAGAATTTGAAAGATATGTACATGTTTAACAGCGAAGATGATGACCTACCACTGTTTGTACTAAACTAACTCGATCCTCTCTGAGATTTCTGACACATGCAAATATATCCACTGTTCTCTCGGAAACTCCCTCATTCGCTAGTATGTCCAATGCAATAAATGTACCTGTTCGTCCAACCCCGGCACTGTAAAATATGTTAAATATTTCTGTTATTTACGAAGTAAAGACAAATGGTAAATATTAGTCGTAATTTGGATAAATTTATTTGTTTATGCTTTCGCCAAAATATTTCAAGTTCATTGATCAACTTTATATATTTTAGATGCCGCAATTGTCATTATCTTTCACAAACAAACACAATCAAAACCATTTGTTTTATCTTTTCTCTCGTGTGGTATGTCTTGTTACAACAATTTTTGTTGTTATGTGTTATGTGCTAGCTCAAAATATGGCTACGCACTTCATCTAAGTGTTGTTTTATTGCTTGGTCCTTCGATCCTTTGTGATTATTCATAACATGTATATCATAGATTATGCGGGTGTTTCGGGTGTAGGAATAGTTGGGCTTTTCATTTTCTCTTTGTTTTGTATTGCTGTAAAAAGATATTCCTTGTTAAAGATAAAAATTGTTAAAGATTTGCTACGAACAATTTTATTGTTACCTGCAGTGTACTATCATGGGCCCTAGCTCGAACGTAGGTATTCTTGTGACTTTCTCCCAAAACTCTACAATGGTATGTGCATCTTTAGGTGTACTTTTGTCTGGCCATGCAGTAAAGTGCATTTGATAAAGTACTCTCTTTTCAAATTTCTGTAACAGATAACTTATTTCTTTAAAGCTGAATTATTTCTAAAATGACGGTCATTTATCTTCTCAATTTGTTTGCTTTTCTTTTTACTGATGTGTTATTTTTATTACTGGAAACAATCTATTATAGATATAAATAGTAAGGGCGCTAAAGTTCAATGAAATATCTAGTAGTGATATTTTATTAACCGGTTACTTGCACTAGGTCGAGATGGCTCTGGATTTTTATTTATTTGTTTTAACAGTTCCGCTATTCATCTCCTCTTTTCAAGTTTTGTTTATCCCCCCCCCCCCAAAAAAAAAAAGAGAGCCATAAAACTTATGACCACAAAGCGTGTTTAGCGCCAAAATTTGTATTCGACTACTTGTTATCGGGAACTGATTGGATATATATATATATAAGTTTACACAGGTGCCTTTGTACAAATAACCCCGATCAAATTGGAGATAGGCTAATAGGATGGGGCCAACAATCTCTGTCAAGTATAGACATTGCCTTATCCTCTAAGCAACAATTACCGAAGTGTTTAATGGTAAACGAGAATGTTCAATAGAAATGTATTTCCGACGTTGTTTCAAAAATAAAAATGAGCGCAATCAAGTGTACATACTTGGCATGTCAGAAAAGGATTGAATAGCAAGAAATAAATATTCATTTGCTCATTGCCATTTCCTGACTTTATTTCATTTGTTTATTTATTCATGTTTTTGATTTTCTTTAACAAATAACGCAGCTACATAGTTGTACATAATTAAAACAAATGTTGAACAACTTTTCTCTTACCTCGATGGAGAATATTCTGACAGTAAAACAGGTATAGATTTCCTCGGATTTACCTGTAACTTTTACATCTCCATAGGTGCAACACATGTCTTTATCTGGCCAGTACTTGTCACATTTTTTCACCTAAAGTTTTCATAATAATTGAGTTTTTTATAATAATCATGTGTGAAAAATATTGCACCAGTTCCTTCTGATAACCAAATTATCAAACAATGGTAAATATTAATTGACAAAAAATAATTGGCCAGCACTATGGCCATCAAGATTGTACACTCTTTGGAAGAAAACTGTTTTAATGAGGGAAAAAATATGTGACACATGGTTTGCATTTATTCATCTCCGTACAAAAACCTGTTAACAAGGTAGTTTTGATACGATAAATTATAATAGTTAAGATAGTTTATTAAGATAGTTTCGAATCCACTTCGACACATACGAAAAATATTGTTACTTACCCCTAGCTCTGTCAGATTGGTCAGCATGACTATTTTACAAACTCTTTCTTGCCAGACCATGTTCCAGAACACTCCAAAATCATCACCCATTTGTTTAATTGTTGGTCCTTTATATAATAATAATGATCATAATATAAATAGCGATTTTATAGTTGTCGTAACTATATACAATGTACTATACTTTAATGTGCTATATTATTTTGAGTGTTGTATACGTTATGTAATGCGATTTTTATCTGATGCAACGATTCAAATTTAAAGCCAAAAAACAAACAACATTTTACCATTAGAACATTTTAACAGTAAATTAAATACATTATTCACAAGACAAAAACACTTTTTCTTATATAACATATAGAGATAAACACTTGCACATTACATACATACCCAGAGATGCTATATAAGCCTTTTGTCGTTTATAACCCTAGAATTTAAACATTTTCAGATATAATATCATGATTAAAGAATAGCACTTTTCCAAGTTTTGAAATAAGATAAACGGATTCATAAAAAGTAATCAAGCATGAAGTGTAGATATTGGTTCTATTAAAATATCCCTGTTCATAAAAAGCAGTGGTAACTTCCCTGATAAAACAAATTTCATCATTTACATACTTATATATTATTTGAACTGTAAATCATGTAAGTAGTCATCTTCAAATGTATATTTGTTGACAGGTTATAGGCCCAATATAAACGTTGGTCATTTTGCTTAAACAGATTTACAATTTTGCAACATCCGCTATTACAAAAGAAATGACGTATAGACGTAATGATTGTCAAGTAAAATCATGAAGTTTCAAGAGCTGTTTTATGAATATTATAGTGTTTGATTAAATAAATAGAAAATTAGATAAATATATGTTTTACGAGGAAGATATGAGAATATTTCATGAGTACATGGAGTAATTCCTGTTTAGTTAAACAAATATCATATTTTGTCGCTTTAAGTATGTACATAAAGAGAACATTTAATACGAAACTGAACATAACAGATACGGAAAACATGACGTATGTTAATAGTTTGATGTTTGAAGCAAATTATTACCAGTATGACTGAGGGACCTTCTGGGAAATATGTTCCCGTAAAAGGTGCAAAAGAATTATTTACCTAATTATTTCTAAGACTATAACATATACTTATTATAAAAATAAATCGTCTTCACTCAAAAATTTGAATAAGTCACAATAGAGAGATTGAGTGATAAGTAAACATTAAATTCTGAAGTCCAAACAGAATTCCATGTTGAATTGTTTAAAAACATGACTCACGTCTATATAGCTAGCATTGATATAGTCTGATTCCATGTCTTTCACAATAACTCTTCTGCTGTCATCTATGCAGGTGATCACATAAAACATATTTTACTTTGAATTGTTAAATAATATAACGAGAACATAGAAATTACTCTACATCAATGTAAATTCAGTTGATAAAATGTTAAATTCAGTCATTTGGAAAAAAGGTTAATACTGAAAATGAACTGAACCAAATGACAAAAAACAACAAAGAAACGGAAAACGCCGTTTATCCTGGAAAAGAATACAGTAGCTGTTATGATTTATTGATTTAAAATATATTAGCTAGTTTTAGAAAATTTAGGAACATGAGTATTTTTGTTTTATATACATTTATTAAATCATTATTTCATAAACAAAAATAATACGACAACAAGATCGTAATGGAAATCAGCAACCATATTAAAAATCAATGACGTTATATCATCAGTGAGTAAACTATGGCATTTGAGGGATAATACAAACGGTGTTTTAATATCGTACATATTATCCGATCAACTAGTACTAAATCGTATGCAATTTGGAAAGGTAATGTCATTTGTTAGTTTGATTCAAGTAAGCATGCATATTTTGTAATGACTTACATGGGTAAACACCTTCTTAACGATTTTTCCTAATATTTTCTGTCTTCTGTGACGCATAAAAAGGCATAATGAGTCCTGCTGGTAGGTCCTAAAAATAAACCGAAAATATCTTTTTGCAGAAGTGCATAATAACCTGTACTATAGTTTGTTCTTCAAATTTAAATTGACATACTGTACGGTATTTAAAAAGAAATAAGATAGCTTTATAGGTAATAAAAGAAAGCATGACAAAACATTTTCATTCATAGTATAATTTCAAAAACAAGCAAGAAATAAATACCAAAAAAAAACAAAACAGTGTTTTCTTTATTGAATTATATTTTTCCACTTTGAATCCCATCAAGACTTAATAATCCACAGCCTTACTTTAAAATTGTAGCTTATTGATCAAAATTATTCAAGGAAATAATAAATATCTTTGAATGTTACCATAAATTCCTCAATGTATTCAAGGTCTGTTTTGTTTTTTACGAAATCTCTGAGTTTATCAACTGGCACTCTACGTTTGAAGAACTCTTCCGTGTTGGCGTATAGAAAGGCATCAACCTGATTGGTAATATTAGATAACATTAAAACAGAAATTGAAGTTTAGATTAATGTTTATATGGTTACAAATATAACACGCAAACTACAAAAAATTCAAATTAAATAGATATCTTCTTTCATGATATAAATTATTTTGTAAATCGCTAAGCCTCACGTGGAAGACTGGCCTAGTTAAACTGTGTTGCCTGATTAAACACAACCGTTACTCAATCACTCACTCAGTCACTCAGTTTCTTACTTACGTACTTATGTAGGTTACTTTCATCAACATCGCACTTACTTATAGCATTGTCAATTGAAAAATGATTTGCAAGTTTACAACAGTAGAACCGGGGAAAAAGAATTAATTATCATCTTTCAGGCAAGAAAAATGAATCTGAAAGAAAACTCGCATATATTTCTTATAAACATACCAATTCATTGTCATCTGCAGGTTGGATTTCATCCTCATTGTCTTCAGTGATGTTTTGAAATTGTTTCCGTTCAATACTTGCATATTCATTTACGTTTACATAAAATATATTTATATTTTCCTGTTCGGTTGGTTCAACACTACCGACTATGACAGCTGGATTAATATTTTCCACTCGTTCTACATGTTGCTGATTTCTCTTATCGTCTAAAAGGCACAATTATTATCAGATAAATTTTCAGGAAATAGAAGAAAATTATACCTTTTTACTTAATGAGAATGACTTCAAAATCTTTAGCAAAAATGAGGAAAATATAATTCAAAAAAATATAAATAAGCCATACAATAAAACATATGGGTCAAATGAGTGAAATTCTACTTGTACTATTTCAACAGCTGAACAGTATTTATATCACATACAGGACATAAAGTATTTAAAAAGGAACAAATCAATGTGATACTCTTTGTATGTTCCCTTTTATTACTTAGTTTAAATATATAATTATGCTTTGTCAACTTCTTATGAATTTCTTCTCTACCATATTGAGATGCATCTGGTGATAGGCAACACCGTTTGAAATGTTGTCAATTTACATGTATAAATTTCAATTTCAATTTCTTATTGCGCATTATTTTGTCATATTTCTTATTTGATGTAATAAGATAATATTACACTTAGTCTTACTATAAGTAATTCTTCTAAAACTATTGTATAAAATCAAATCTTTAACATGACCTTATTGAAATTAATAATTGATCCTAACAGGCTTTGAATCATAATTATTTCAAAAGTAAATAAAACACGATTTTGCTTTCCTATCATTTTCCCTATCTATGACAAATTTAATTTCTTTCATGAGAAAATCATATTTTAACACGCATATATGACACACAACTGTAAATATCTATATCGTAAAAAAATGAACACAATGAAAAAACGAAAGGGCACCAGGATGTACTAACTGACACATAACATCATACTAATTTATGTCACATTTTCAATAAGATGAGTAATATTGTACTCGGAATGTAAGTGAAATCACTTGACGTTTTATCAAAATATATCTTCAACATACGAGTACGTACCAATACATTTTGTCTAACAAATATTTAATACCTACAACAAATCTTTTCTAAAAATCAAAACACAAATTAAAGCGAGTAAACAAAACAATACACAGAACAACAAATCTTTACTGTACCTTTACAAGACAGTATTTCTTCAGAATTTCTCACTCCTGTGTAAGTAACCGATTCCCCTAAACCTTCTACTGCACGACGGCTTGGTTCATTTTTAAAACTGAAAATGTCGAAGTTAACAAAACAAATGCAGATCCCACTACTATTTCAACAGAAATACAAATATAATATTAACAAAAACATTCTAGTAAAAGCCTACATTATGTCAAAATATAAAGGTCCATACATTGTTCCAGTAAATGTAAGAGGGAATAAAGACAAATCTTAATTTTGTCCATCAGATTACTTTACACAAAATATGAATAAAAGATTTATTCACGTCTAGACTATAAAGATATTATAAAGTACAATTGTTAAATACTCAATACAGAGAGAATAAGGAATCCAATAAGAACGTAAAAAGCGACAGCATTGAAAATGTTGCAGGTTCGGTTTGATTGAGGTCGTTAATTTACACTTGCCCTTCACCTTTATTGGTTCGAATCTTGTTAGAAGTTGTGCAGTCTCTCATGAGATAAACCTACCAGCTAGGTTATGAAAGAGCGATGTCCCTATTCAATTACACACATTCGTGTCAGAGAAAAAAGTACGTGAATGGGAATCTGAGGACTTTATCCAGCTAAACTGAATAGACAAGCAAGACCTTACCGTGACGTTAAGTCCAACAACACGTAGAAACTAATTTGCATTTTGATAGACTTGAAGAAACTTGGTACATTTACAACATTACAGTACGTTCTGTGCGTGCAATTTAATAATAATGGTAACCCGTTTCACAAGTTGATGAATATTTCTTATTAACACTTAGTATCTTATACCAAATACATGTACCTTTGTACAGTTGATATGACTGTTATCATAATAACAATGATCAGACACACAAGCGATACAATGAAAAGAACTGAACCAAGTCGCTGATGTAAGGTTGAAGACATTACATCCACTTGATCTGTTAAATAAACAAAATCATTGTATATATACATGTACAGTAACGTTTACTATCTTATTCGATATTATAGTGTCATAAATATTCTATTAACGTAAATTTAACTTATGCAATTAAATACATCAAAAGAAAACAAACAAGCAAATTCGTTAAATTTATATCCCCCGCCGAGTACTGGTTATTACTAACACAACAACTGAAGACATAAGGCTTTATTTATATATTTATCATGGCATAAACAGTAATATTCTTTGAACTTGATAAATATTCAGGGCAATAACAGAGCCATAACTCTGTGTTAAATAGTAATATCTGGAAATGCCAATGAGATGTATGCATACTGCATAACTAATCAAGGGCCATAAATCTGAGTTATATGTGTCTGACCGGAACAAGGCGACTATATGCACATCTCCTCTTCGTATCCCATAAAGTTTCATTGAATTCCAGCCAGTAGTTACAGAGAAGTAGCACGGAAACGATTATTGCTCTGGTTGTATACTGCATAAGTTATCAAGGGCCATAACTCAAAGTTAAAATGTCTGACCCGAACAAGGCGACGATATGCGCATCTCCTCTTGGTATTGAAGGTTCCAATAAAGTTTCATTGAATTCCAGCCAGTAGTTGCAGAGAAGTAGCGCAGAAACAAATATTTTTCTATATGCATACTGCATAACTAATCAAGGGCCATAACTCTGAGTTAAAATGTCTGACCCCAACAAGGCAATGATATGCGCATCTTCTCTTGGTATTGAAGGTTCCCATAAAGTTTTGTTGAATTCCAACCAGTAGTTGCAGAGAAGTAGCGCGGAAACGATTTTTGCTCTATATGCATACTGCATAACTAATCAAGAGCCATAACTCTGAGTTAAAGTGTCTGACCCAAACAAGGTAATGATATGCGCATCTCCTCTTAGTATTGAATGTTCCCATAAAAATTTGTTGAATTCCAGCCAGTAGTTGCAGAGAAGAAGGGTGGAAATGATTTTTGCTGTATATGCATACTGCATAATTATTCAAGGGCCATAACTCTGAGTTAAAGTGTCTGACCCTAACAAGGCGAGGATATGCGCATCTCCCATAAAGGTTCCCATAAAGTTTCGTTGAATTCCAGCCAGTAGTTGCAGCGAAGTAGTGCAGAAACGATTTTTACTCTATATGCATACTGCATAACTAATCAAGGGCCATAACTCTGAGTTAAAGTATCTGACCGGAACAAGGAGACGATATGCGCATCTCCCCTTGGTATTGAAGGTTCCCATAAAGTTTCCTTGAATTCCAGCCATTAGTTGCAAAGAAGTAGCGCGGAAACGATTTTTACTCTATATGCATACTGCATAACTAATCAAGGGCCATAACTCTGAGTTAAAGTGTCTGACCCTAACAAGGCGAGGATATGCGCATCTCCTCTTGGTATTAAAGGTTCCCATAAAGTTCGGTTGAATTCCAGCCATTAGTTGCAGCGAAGTAGTGCGGAAACGATTTTTACTCTATATGCATACTGCATAACTAATCAAGGGCCATAACTCTGAGTTAAAGTGTCGGACCGGAACAAGCCGACGATATGCGCATCCCCTCTTCATATTGAAGGTTCCCATAAAGTTTCCTTGAATTCCAGCCAGTAGTTGCAGAGAAGTAGCGCGGAAACGATTTTACTCTATATGCATACTGCATAACTAATCAAGGGCCATAACTCTGAGTTAAAGTGTCTGACCGAAACAAGCCGACGATATGCGCATCTCCTCTTGATATTGAAGGTTCCCATAAAGTTTCGTTGAATTCCAGCCAGTAGTTGCAGAGAAGTAGCGCGGAAACGATTTTTACTCTATATGCATACTGCATAACTAATCAAGGGCCATAACTCTGAGTTAAAGTGTCGGACCGGAACAAGCCGACGATATGCGCATCTCCTCTTGATATTGATGATTCCCATAAAGTTTCGTTGAATTCCAGCCAGTAGTTGCAGAGAACTACTCCGGAAACGAAATTCGGACGGACGGACGGATGGACGGACGGACGGACGGACAACGCCAAAACTATATCCCCCTCCCGATTCCATCGGCGGGGGATAAAAATAACAATTATATCCATTATATTGAAGTTTAAGTCTTAATTAAATTATTTAATCAAATCAAGTAGTTTATTGTGCGAAATAAATGTAATTCAATATACTGAATCTATAAGAATGTTTAACATAAATTGAGGAGTTAAACTCTACCAATATAGCATAAGCCTGTTTCTGCATTACATGTAAAGTTTTGGCATTCACTGCTGCACTTTTTGTCACATGTGCCCCCGTAGTATCCCAGCTCGCATCCCAAATTACATAAACCAGTTGTCGAATTACATTGTCGTTCAATGCATGTACTGCTACAATTATTGTCATGCATTTGGTCATATCCATGGTAACTATCATTGGAACCATGACTACAAGCTCCAGTTTCGATATTACATGTTCGGTTTGTGCACGACTTTTGACATAGCTCCTTACAGAACTTCCCCCAATAACCTTTTTTGCATCCAAATTTACAAACACCACTCTCTGTATTGCATGATCTATTCCGACAATTGATAGGACAGTTCAAACATTTTCCATCTGAAAAATAGTTTTCGTCTTTACATTTCGTGCAGTTAGATTCCGATATACACGAGAGGCATTTATCAGGGCAATCTTTTTCACAGTTCAATCCCCATTTCCCGTCTACACACTCCAAACAAGGCCATTTAAAGAACGGTTTACATTGAAGGCATTGTCCTGTAAATCGGTTACATTTGTTGTCAAGACATCCATTTGAGCAGTTACACTTTATCCCGAAGTAACCAGATTGACACTTACGACAGCCTTCATCTGAAGTACACGTTAAACATTCTTTTGGGCAGTCGAGGTGACAGTGTTGTCCATATTTGAAAGGCTTACAAAGACTGCAATTGTTTCCAACATGATTTTCGTTGCAAACACAATTGCCAGTGTCTTTTTCACACATGTTGGCTTTACATCCCGCGGAACACATCTGATCACATGTTTTTCCGAAAAATCCTTGTTTACATTTTGTACATTCATTTGATATCAAACAAGAAGCGCAATTATTTGGGCATGGGGCACACGAATTACTGGATTCAAAATAACCCTCTGGACATTTTTGGCAAGAAGTACCATTTAATATTAATCCATCATTACATGTAATGCAATTATATTCGGGCGTACATGTTTTACATGGCGACGTACATTTATTGCATCCATAACCGTTTCTGAAATACCCAGTATTGCATTTTGAACATGTATTAAACGATGAACATTGTGTACAACTAGTGGAGCATGGGCGACATGAGAATTGGTCTTGATAATATCCAACGTCACATTTTTCACATTTGTTAACTGAGGAACAAGACTGACAATTTGCAGGGCACTTAATACATGTACGTCTCTGCATCATATAGTATCCCATTTCACAATTATAACAATATCCATATGCTTTACATTTGCAACCTTCTGGACAATACGATTGCACTGAAACCAAAAGGTAAGTATTATCAAATTTTCCTTTAAGCAATTTAACTTTAGGTTATTCATTTGAAACTGTGCCAATGGTACAACTATTTGCATATGCGACTTTTCTGCCAAATTGACTTTCTCGTTTTTTACAATGGTATAAAGAAGAAAAGAATCTCTAAAGCTAAAGAAAAAAAAGAATCCATAAAACGTATTTAAAAGAGTTAGATTGGTACGTATTTCGTGAAATTGTTTTGAAATGGTCTAATTAAAGAATAAATTTTGAATGATTATGACGGTGATGTCTTCAAAATTGACCAAACCAAGAAGCAACTGTTTGTCGCTTTCTGATGGAAAGTGACTACACAGTCTGTGCAATTCATCTTCTATAGATTTAATTATTTTATTGAGTGTTTTTTGCGAGAGACGAAAAACGGTGATTTTTGTAAAAATTGTAAAATCTATTTCTTACCAAAAACTCCTATATTCAGCAGTAAAGCAATACATAACAGTTGCAACATCTGTAAAAATAAATTGTCAAGTAAATGTGAATACTACAAAGAAAGAGGCTTTTACAATCCAATTTGATTAAGAAGCAAAAATAAAAAGTAAAGGGGGTAAACCATGAGTACCATTACGTTTTTGTCATTGTTTATGTTCATTGGTAATATATTACTGAATATTTACTCGGTCAAAAAGGTTATTTCATCATGTAGAACACCATTTTCACATTTAGTTTATTATTAGTTTATTTTCCATTTAAGCTAGAATGTGAGAAAAGCCTAAAGCTTATTAGAACAACGCTCTGGTCAGCGTTCTTGTATATCCTTATGGTTTGAGATTACTTTCACTCAATCAATAGATACTGGATTTGAGTCCTTCTCTAAGCTTCGATAAAATATGAGCTAAGATAAATATGTTTTAAATAGTTTGTCCAGGGACAGTCCGTTCAAACGAAATCCTTCAAAGAATGACCATCCTTAATTGATTTTAAAGTACTGACAAAATCAAAACTGAATTAATTTGTATGCGTTTAGGAACAATTTAGTAAACTTTAAACACATAATTTTATACAATGTAAGGTACGGTTGAACTTCAAGGCATCGTTGTCTTCATTGAACGCCGCCTTTCCTTGTTGATCTTGTTTATCATATTTTAGTAAAGCTTAGCCACAAGAATGACGCCTATTTAGGCACAAGGAACTCTTAATAATTTCTTGTATTATCAATGTTTTCGTATTCTTTACTGTTAAGAAACCAATGATAACATTCTGCTTAAAATATACTTAGTTTACGATTGCGTCAGCATTAACTTTTTGAAATATTTATAAATTAATTAACCCTACTACTGATTTGATCTTTTTCTGTCATATGGTGCGTAATCCAAAATATCACTGATAATTTATTTATACAAAGATGTGTACCAAAATCAGCCCAAATATTCTATCAAGTATATATGTCGATATTTTTTCGGTGAGTTTTAACATATTCATGTACACGAATATAACATATTGATTAATTTAGGTTTCATATTTGTAATTAATCTAACAAATTTTTAGCCATTTGATAGATATACAACTTAAACACAGTTTATTTCTAAATAAAATCTGAGAGACAAATAAATAAAGTTAAAATTAAACATACAGAAAGAAACATATGACCCTAGTGGGACTTGAACTCAAAATCTTACGTTAGATGCCACATGCATTTGTTGTCGTTGTTCATTTACTTTAATAAATTAGTCCAAGGTTTGATTTTTAAAATCAATCAAAATTAATTTCTTAAGGATCAATTAATTCTTACTTCTTAGTTTTGCATACTCCTGATATTGTCAATATTCTATCAATGAGGTTTTTAACACGTTTTCAAGTTGAGACTAAGAAGTACATTAAATTTTTACTATTCTATATTTAACAGAATAATAGGTATATGTATTGATAATTTCTAGTTAAAATGTTAACTAACATATTTCTTTCTCACATATGAGTAATAAGAAGGAAAAGGATATGACTTACTTAATAAAAGTCGGACAGAAAATTATAGCTAATTAAGTTTATTTCCTTCTGAATAATGTTTGATGAATAATCACTATTCAATAATAAATCAGGAGAGAGAGAGCGAGAGAGACAGAGAGAGAGAGAGAGAGAGAGAGAGAGAGAGAGAGAGAGAGACAGACAGACAGACAGACAGACAGACAGACAGAGACAGACAGACATACAAAAAGGGAGAGACAGAGAGAGAGGGAGAGAGAGGGGGAGAGAGAGGGAGAGAGGGGGAGAGAGAGAGAGAGAGAGAGAGAGAGAGGCTTCAAGACGACAGACGGTAGGTTTTGCCTATTTTGCCAAGAAGACAGTGACCATACTAATCTAAAATTGTTACACATTTGCATTGTTTTCTGCATCGTTATTGTTATTTAAATCTTAAATGATGCCTTTCGCGTCGTATTTCATACTATCAGATTAAAATAATAATATTTTGCATTTTAATAAACATGAAATAAATAGAAATTCTTTTATCGCACAGATATATTTGTTAAAGAAATTATTCAAATATTGAAGTTACATTCCATGTATTGTACTTGAAAATAAAGGATACAGTCTATTAATTTCAGTCACGTGTTTACATAGTGTGCCATCAGGTCTTTTTGATCCAAATTCCATAAATATCCGAGTGTATATTTTATGCAAATTTCCTCCCTTTTCAGTTTAAATTTAAGCATTCATTTGGTTAACCTGACAAATTTTCTCAGAAAATACTTGGAAACTTTAAATACATTTTCACAATTCAAAATGTGTTACCATTTTTTAAGGAGGGATGCAGAAAATACTAAAATTCATTTTTGCAAAGTTATGCCCCCCCCCCCCCCTCCCAAACATTTTGAAATTTGAAATGCATTTCTAAGAGAAGCTATTTTTGCTTGATTGTTTCTCTTTTTTTGACTTTGTAATTTTGTCGTGATTAATGCTTGCTTCCGAGATGCAAACACTTTATCCAGATTTTGGTATGTAAGCCTTTGATTCAAAAACTGTTAACGGTTAGTAATGAAAAATTAATGAAAACGTTTTATTGACTTCTAAAAGCCGGTGGACTCTTTCCATGAACTTGTCCAAACTTACTTAAGGTTTAATAATTAAAGTGTTTGACCAGGACGTTAAATCAGAACAACTAACAAGTGTTCGATATATAAAACTTTCATTATTTATTAACTTATTGTGTATGAAATACATTAATAAGCGTGCTATGCAAAAAAGAACTTGTTTATATGTTAATCTGTTGTGTTAGTTTAGTGAATAACAACATTCTTATATACATGTATGATATTCATGTTACAGTAATGAAAATGTAGATTCTGATTATGACTGATAAATAAGATGTATTGATCTTGGACATTTCTACATTTGAGTCAGACCATGGTTTTTCGATAGTTTTATTGTCATTGCTTCTATGCTACAATTTTAACATCACGTAATGCTATACAAAATGGTTGCAATTTGCAATAAAAATTAGTTATATATTTAAGTACGAGTGGGGTTTGAACCCATGCGTACATTCGTCCAGTTGAACTTAAGTCCAACGCCTTAACCACTCGGCCACTTTACTTATGTTTGAAATCATTAAAAAGTGTATGAAATATTACATAGATTAGTATTAGTTTATTCACTGAAAATCATATCATATTTCTTTTTTTATGCCACAACATAAATTTCGTTGGTTAATGATAATATATAGGTCAAGTTAGCTCAAAGTCAAGTCAATAATTTTTATTTAACTCTTTTCATATACAAATACGAACCTGTAAAGTACAATGATTCTCAAATACATGTGTAGCAGATAATTACATCATTTCATGTTATACTTAAGACAAACTATAATAGTTATAATCTAATATCATAATGAAATGTGTGTACGCAAACGTTATACTTACTAATTTATATAACTTTTTAAAGAAATTATTAATGTTTGACAGAGTACTTTTACTGAGGCAAAATAGAAAAAGGATATTGCAAAAGGCTGTAGTATACGATTTCTTTTACCAGACTACGCTGGGTTTTATTCAAAGAGAGATATAAAAATAGTGTTGTTAACTAAGTTAATAGTAAATGCATATATATCAATGTTGTTTTTTTATTGATATTCAGTAACTATTTGTATCAGATGTTGCATAAAATTCAGGTTTTTGACGGAAATAACATTGACTCGGGGGAATTAAACTAGCGTAACAAACACTTAATAGTCCAACACCAGTTATTTATCTTATGTCATACAAATAAAAATTACTCCTTATATTACTATCTATCTCCGACAAGTGTTATTTTATATCTTTGACTGTTTTACTTTTTTCTTTTTATTCTCTAAATTTCTCTATACATGTATATAAATCATTATGTTCCTTTAAGTCAGAGTATAAATGTAATAAAGAATGCTTGTTTATTATTGTATTCAGAATTAATACTTAATATTTCATATGCTGGTATGTCCAAAACAACTCAGTAAT